CACTCACGAAAAGTGTTCATCACGTATGAATCGTTTCCCCACTGCAAACGCAAGTTGATGCGAATTACCCTGACACTTCCCCCACTGGCACGCTCATGACCACAAGCAGTTGATGCGATTTCCCGGGCTGACAGCATCCAACCATTCTGAGGTTCCTTTCAATCGGCAGCTTGGCCCCCAGGCCTCCTTCTCATTGCCATTGGCTAAATGAGCTGCCGCCAGCTTTTGCAGAGCATCGGCATAGCCCCTCTTGTAGTCCACCTCACGGCAAAGGTCCTCCACAACGAGGCAACGAGCATCCGAACCCTGGCAACCACACCAAGCCGTTTTCCTTAGCGCGCCAACCACCAGAAGGCCCATTGCCTGGAACTGGAACGGATGATCATAGATTACCCCTCATTTTGAGAAACACCCAAACGAGTTGTGCCTTATCCGCAAATCAACAAAGGGCAGTTCCTTAGCCACACCAATCTGATTAGCTTTGGCAAGGCGACACACTAACGTAGCAACTATGGGAACTTCGATGGAAGAAAACTGTCCTCTCAAAGAGAAATTGTGGTGTTCCATGACGGTGTCGGGTCTATTGAAGCGACATCACATCCGAAAAATGGCTCTTCCTGAAAAACTTCCCGCTCCCAACGGTAATTTTGCGAGACTCTCAAATTACAACCACTCTGAGGGACCCTGGTTTTGGCTCAGGGGCGCATCTTCTGGGCGCAGTTGCAATTTCCGTCCGACTAGCGGAAGGAAGTCCGGAAAGCTGCTTTCAGCTGTTGGGGAAAACAACGCCAATTGGGAGCACCCGTCCAAATGGGCAACCCCATATTTTGTGGCTTTTCGGGTTTCCCCATAAACCACCCATGTGGTTTCTCAAAATGGTTGGTGTCCTTTGAACAAACCGAAAACCAGTGAAAGACCCGACTTCTCCGCGGTCCTTGGCCTCTTCCGCGCAGGCGATGGACTCCTCCGGCGCCTTGGCGGCCACGTGCGCCTCCGCCAAACTCAGCAGCGCCGCCGCCGCGCCGCGCTTGTCCTGGGCCTCCAACAGCAGTGCCTGGCACTTCGGGCCCGGCTCTGAGGGGTGGCCGTGTTTCATTAAAAGATGTTGGGCCCCTACAACTGCGACAAGTAAATCCAGCTGGGAAATCGAGCGTCACATGATGTGACTTCCTTTCCCTCCTTGGATGCACGTTGTGATGGGGGGACGGCGTCCAAATCGGTCGACCATGTGACGCCCAAATCTACTACAACTTGCAGCGGGCATCACCCTTTACACCCCCAAACGGGGGGGGGGGGGGTTTTGAGAAGTACACATGCTCCTCCTTCATGCGTCACTCGCTATCGCTATAAGTTGGCCTTTCCAAAAGGTGATATTTGGAGCCGAGAAAACTTTGAATCTTTGAGCCAGGGCTTAAAACGCAACGCCCCATGGCCTTGGCATCCAGCAGCTTGGCCACGCCCGAGGCGAACTCCGACTTCGCGCAGTACCTCGGACGCGTCGCTTCCAAAATTCCTAAGAGACGATCCTTCAAGCACGATGCAGGTACTCATAACTCAGAAATAAGCCTTTTGGTGGATCAACAAAACATCAGGATTTGTAGGCGCCGACCATGTTTGAGCGAGCTGAGCTCCCCAGTAAAATGCATAGCCACATCAAACCCACAAGCCTTTCAAAAGGGGTGAAAGGAAAGGTGTGGAGTTCCAGTCGCACACCAAAGGATGGAGGGGCTGATTTGAACGCGAGAGCGGAACAACTGATCGAATCGAGCTGCACATTGCTGATCGCCGTCAAGGCCGTGGCTTCTAAGTGCCTGTCTTCCGTCTCCTTCGCCGCGCGCAGTGCTTCTTGCGCGGTGTTCGCGGCATCCTCGTGCAGTGGGCAGGTGGGAAGGCCGGGCGGCCAACCACTTGCACAGAACCATGCCGTTAGGTCAGCATCAACCCTCACCTTTTCAGGCTCCCTTCAGAGGGAAAAAATATCGTCAGAGCGTTGGAAATGCTCAAACACAACTTTCCCCCTCCCTCCTCGTGCTTCTGCTCCGCAATCTGCGCAGTGGCCAGGGCCACCGTGGCGAGCACCTCCGCCTTCTTGTCCTCGGGAAACTCTTTGCCGCAAGTTGCCCCCTTTTGGTTTTTGGGGCTTGACAAGGGCCGTTAGGGTTCCAGGGCCGAGCCCTGCGCTCTGAGAGCAAACCGGAAACACGGCAACACGCGTATGGGGGAAGCAAAGCCATGCTTCCACCCTATACAGGAACCTGAACTCTGAATGACCAACAGCTGATCATTCCACACGATCCCACACTTACCTGGAAATCAGGAACCCCCGTTTTTGCTGGGTATTCATGATGTTCCATTTACCCGCCAAGGGGAAAGCATGGAAATTTGAGCTACGTTTTGAAAGGGTCCCTTTGGACGTGGACTTTTTCGGACCCTTTCGAGCCTGGATGTCGTCCGCCATTTGCTTGGCCTCCTCCGCCTTCTCCTTCGCCTGGCCCGGCTTCTTCATGGACGCGAAGATGCTCGACAACGACAGCATGGCCTGGCCCACCAAAAAGGCGGGGGTGGGAAGCCGGAAGCTAAGCCCACCATGCCCACCCGAGATTTTCGTGAAGCCCTTCCGGGCTCAAATCATGATTATTTTTTGCCTCCAGCTGCCCATGCTTGTCGTTCAGCTCCTTCAGCAAATCCAGCTCCTCTCAGCGATTTGTGCGACGTCGACAGGCCCACCGTTTGGGCTTGGGGGTTGTGGGTCGGGGTTTGGGTGATCAAGAGGCGCATCCAAGTCGATGGGTTGAAAGTCCCCGAGTTTAGGGGGCGGAACGCAAGTGAATGGTGAATCGACCACTTACTTGCCCAGTGGCACCCATGAGGAAAAAAGAGAGCCCTTGGTCCTTTGATGTCCTTTGCTACTTCATTTCAAAACTGAGCCGATGCATGGGGTGAAAGCACGCTAAAACTACTGTTGTTCCTTAATCACCATGCTGCTCAACCCTGGGCAACAACCCACCCCCCGGCTACAGTGGGCGCGCCTGGTTTCTTTGCAAGAAACCTAGAAGGAAGCCAAAAACCTTGTGTTGGCACGAGTCGTGGCAAAAAACATTTGACAAGACATACTTCCCAACCCGAGGGAAAAGGAAGCCAAAAGAAAACCAAACATGCTGCTACGTCAAGGCAGGAGCCCCGAAATACAAGCGGTTTGTGTTTTCTGAGCTCCTGGTTCTGCTCACTGGCCGCCAGGTCCAGCTCATTCCGCGCCAGGCGGACCATCGACAAGGCGCCGTGGGCCGCCGCCTCGGCGCGCTTGTGGCCGCTGGCCTCGTAGTCCTCCACAGCGCCCTCGGCCTCCTGGCCCCGGTGCTTCGAATCGGAGGAGGGTGCCCTTCTGAAGGTTGGCCCAAAGGGAAACCAAAGGGAAACCAAAAGGAAACGAAGTGAAACACTTTGCAAGGCTCCAAGAAGTGGCCCTGGTTTGGCAAGGAAGCCCCAACCTGCTTACGTCAAGTGGATGTTTTCGGCTCCAGTTGGATTTTGGGACCCCACACCCAACAACCCCCCCCCCCGGTGTAGACTTGAAAACAAGTGGAAGGAACTTTCTACAGGGGACCAATTTCTGGCTGCAGACCGACCTTGGAGGAAATCAAACATTGATTGAACCCTTGTCAAAACTGTGGCAGGTTGAACCATCACCCTACCGACCGAAGGAAGTTCGTGTCGACGAATGTTCCATCAACTGGCTCCCAAGGAGGCTGACTGAATCCTACGTTTGATTTCTCCCGCTCCATTCATCCTTTCAATGCTTGATCAAACTTCCCCCCCTCCTCATTTCTGCCTGGAAACCAAATAAATCTGGGGCAGAGGAGTTTTCTGGTCGGTCGGTGGCTCTCACTCCTTGAGCGCACGCTTGAGGTCGCCCCTCTGCACCAGGGAGTTCACCAGCAGCCGCAGAGCGCCGCCCTCGGCCTTGGACCGCTGCACCTGGCATGTGGATCCAACCATCCAGGCGTCAAGGCGGGTCCCTGATAGGAAACACCAAGAAGCTACCTCAAATTCCCCCCACCAGTCACCACCATCACCAACAACAACAAAAGAATCTGTTGCACTCTGATCCATATATTAGTGAACCTTAAATTGGAATATCAATCCGAAAGAGCCCCAAATACCTGCTGACTCAAATGGGTGCAACCGCCATTACGCATGGGGTTGTCTCCAAACAGGGGGGCCTTCGCTTTGGTTGCCCTGCTTTGCCCTGTGCTGAAATCACAGCCGTGGCCCACTCCCCCCAGTCTATCCTTGCGACTCACCGCCAGCGCCCGCTCTGCGAACTGCACCGCGGCGCGGCTCTTCTCCTTGAAGACGTGGACCTTCGCCAGGAGCTGCAGGGCACCTCACGCATCGTTCCCTTCGAAAAACGAAGCCTTCGCCTTGAGGATTGGCCCCCTGCCTTTTGTTTCCCCCTAATGAAAAACTCTCAAAATGAATAGATGATTGTCTTTGGCGATGGAAACCTTGCTTCGCGGTCCTCTATTGGCATGTCCTGACATCCCCCTTCAACAACACCGGTAGTTTGCGAGCAACTGGGATGTCAAAACATAGGGTCATGAATGAGAGCGCCCCGCCCTCAAAGTGATACATCAGCAGGAACACCCAAGCCAGACAATAATCAACAATATTAAATCAATCGATGGGGCTGGGATTCTTCTGGGGTCTAGGGGAGGAGTGGGCAGGGCTCTTAACAAGGGTTTTGCAAAATGTGGGGGGGGGGGGGCCTATTAACCCAAACCGGAACGCACTAAAGCAATGAAAGCCGCTACCATCTGGCACAACACCGCCGATCGACCTTGAGTTTCTTCCTAAAGGGTACCTTGTCTAAGATTGTTGTTTGAGCGCACCGAACACGCCAGCCCCCTCCCCTCTCTGCCCTCTGCATTCCGCCCTCTGCCCTCCGCCTGCTTGCAGCTTGTGGCTATCCAAGTCCTGGGCGATCTCCAGCGCCATGTGCGCAGCGCTCAGCGCCTCTGCTGGCCGGCCGGCGTCCATCTGCGCCAGCGCCAGCCAGTTGTAGGACTTTCCTTCCCCGATCCTCCAGGCAACGCGGCTTGTCTTCTCCTTGAAGGCTTGAAAAGGCGCTGTTTGGACCTGGGCTGTGCTTAGGGAAGGCAGGGTGAGGGGGGGGAGAAACACAATTTTGGTTGCTGCGTTTTTTGAGACACACCAGTTTGGAGACCTGTCCAGGGAAACCCGAAACATTTTGAGAGCCCATTTTTCAGGACCTCTCTGCTCCCCTTGGCTTCTACAAAGGACGGGACAATCAAGTGGTCCCTCGGGTTTTAGTTCGAAAGCGCCGGCATCGCCGGTGGCGTCCTGTCGCCGGCTTCCTTGTACAAACTCACCGCGTTCTCTGCGGAGAGCACCGCGTCCTTGGCCTGGCACCGGCGCAGCTGGGCCCGTGCCGCCAGCACGGCGCCGAAGGCTTCCAGGCGCTTGTCCCCCGCTTGCCTGGGGGGGGGGAAGGGGGGCCTTGGGGTTGGAGAGTTGGGGAGGGCGGAGGGTGGGGGGGAAGTGGGTGTTTGCCACATGTCCTGTGGAAAATCATGCGGCTCTCTTCTATCATTCCGTGCATGATGTGCTATTTCGGGATATACTATTTGCTGTGTTTATACATAATTGTATATATATATATATATACATATGTGCGTGTGGGTATATACATATGTGTGTGTGTGTGTGTATGAATCACTATTCACATCTCATTAGCAATTTGCAAAGTAGGCTGGTAGCACGGTGAGGCTAAGATGTCGGAAAATGTTGCTATTTGTCTCGCAGGTTAGGTGCGTTAAGGAAATGACCGGAGCCTTCGTCTGGTTCATATTGGCTAGTGTTTGCCCGGGCATCCTTTCGGACTGCAGCAAATTGGTGCTTGGTGCGAGGGCAATCTTGCCGCCCACATGGGCCTGAAGCATGTTCAGCCAAGGACGACTAAACCCTCTGTTGACTCAAAGGCGAAGGGCACACTTCCCTGAAAGTGTCATTCTTAGTAATGCGCTCTCTTGACGAGGATCTGGGGAGCAGCTGGCTGAAGAAACGACTCTTCACTTGTGCAAGGGGTCCGACTAGTCCCACTGAAGCCCTTTCGGAGCATGGCGTGGCCAAACTGATAAACCCCCTGCCCACCCCTCCAAGGGATAGCCTTTGCCATTTCTCTCCCAAATCGTACTGAGGCCCAGTTGTGTCAAGCACGCCTAAAGCTTAAAACCGCGAGCGCCGGCCTCAGCAGTGGCAACGCCTCCTCGATGTTGCTGAGCGCTTCCCCTGCCAAGGCCTTTACAAGCTGCGTCTCTGCCAGTGCCAGCAGCATGCAGCCTTGGCCCCTCTTGTCGTCGCTCTCGCGGAAGCTTCGCAACTCCGCCTGCACCTAAGGGAGCGGGCCAGGCTTGTCACTTGGGCAGCCCACGGTCACAAAAGCAAGAAGGCCTTCCTTCATCATATTCGGGCTATACCGAAAGGACATCACGAACCTGATCGCACAGGGCCAAGGTCGCGCCTTGTCGATGGAAAAATCCGGGGACTGCTTCAGGCGCTCGGCCGCGCAAAGGAGCCGCACGGAGTCCTGCTGCCCTGCCTGCGGGCGAAGGACCAGGTTGGTTCCGAAATGTGTCTAAACCAGCAAACCAAAACGAGGCTTGAACAGTAATTAGCTTGAACACGTCCGAAAATAGGCACAGGGGGTTGGCCCAAGCCAGCTAACTGAATAAGTTGAATAAGATCATTGGGATATGAATCCAAGTTAGTTTCTCAAATGGTAGATCAACCTGAAGTAGCCCTTGCCCGTCCGTCAAAAACCCGCTGGCCTTGTTGCCGGCTTCTCTGAAGAGCTCTAACGCCTGGCCGGCCTTTGAGAGGGCCTCCTCCACCTCATCGTCCTGCAAATGCTCCTGCGGGCTTTGTCCAGGCCCACAACTTTCCCCCTATGTCACCCCACCTAAAGGAGATGGTGAGGTTTAAAGCCACCAAAACGGGAATTACAGGGAACCAGCGGACAGAATGAAATAGAGCTCGTTTGCTTGGGGGATTTCAAACAAGTTTTGCCCAAATCAAATGGGGGGAACGCCCAACAAGGTGACTTCATGATGGCTTTCCATTTTGATACCACCTCAAAAGATGTACAAACTCCAACAAGCTTTTTCATGGACATGCATAGTTGTCCCAGTGGGAAACTCGGGGCCACCCCCCCAAGTCCCTCCTCCCGCTCTTCCCTGTCAGTTGCCAAACGGGTTTGTCTCAAAACAGGGATCCTCCAAAAACGTGCCCTTTCTCTTGTGATGCTACTGATTTCCCTGGAAGCCAGAAAAGACATGTACCGGGTAGCCTCAAAAAGACACGGCCCTTTTCAAGGGATGCACCCTCAAAAAGGCATTAACCCCATGTCTCCTCAGCTACGGAGTACAGCATTGCTGCCTCCCGGACCTTAGGGCTCACATTCTTGTCCTCAGCCAGCTGGCTGTAGTACGAGGCAAGGTTGGCCGCCTGGGTTGGTCGGGCGATTCAATGCGGCCAAAATATGATTAAGCTTAAACTCATAAGCTTTAAACAACTCATAAGCTTTTTACCAACCTCCTGTTTGGATTCCCTCCGAAGAGGCGCTAAAGGCTGGTTGAAAGGAAGCGCGCCCGTTGTCTTCCAGTTCTACGGGCTATTGATTCTCTCAGTACCTGACGGGCCGGACACCAAACACTGCAAGCAACCCGCCTCGGTTTCCAAGAGCTTCTTGGAGTCTTCGTCCAGCCTTCGCCTCTGCAACTCCTCGCCCTCCATGGCGCTCCCGGCTTTCGGGCGAAGCCGGAAGCAACTTGATCCAACAGGAGCTGCAAAGGCAGGGGATCCAACCCCCGCCCCCCCCCCCCCTCCGGACCCCACTAAATCCCCCCCGCTAAACCCCCTTAGACCATCCTTAGACCCTAGCAACTCCGGATTAAGGTCTTGTTTGGAGAAAACCCAGGGGGGCCTGTATGGATCCTATAAGGCAAGCCTGCGCAGCCAAATGGCAAATTGCTGGTGATGGCCTGACTGTTTGCTGGGCTTCACAATCTTCCCGCTTTGCAACGCCCTCAAGCGCAACAACCTCAACATCTAGCATACCATTGCCGGCATAATTCCATCCCGATCATCCCTGACAGCAGCTCCCCCCGAAACAAACCCGGAGTCAAGACAAGAGCACTCAAACCCCACCGCAAAGAGACACCTTGCAAGCGCGCCTCCTCTGGCCAACTGCACCTTGAACTTGAACTTCAGGGAGTTGTTATCCGTCGCCTGGCAACTCTTCAACTCCCTCGGGAACCAAGGAAGAGACAAAAGAAAACCAGATGTGGTCTCAAAACAGGCGCGCCCCCGCTCCGTTTCAGGCCTCCAGCACGTGGATACTGCCACTCTTTGTGCCAGCCTCAGCCATGCACCAATGCACCACATACCATGTCTTGCTGCATCCAGCAAAATCCGGGGTCAACTTGCTCCAGGGTCAATTTGCTCCAGGCAGACTGTGCATTCGAGGCATCTGAGGGGATGGCCAAAAGGAAGAGGCCAGTGTCATCGAATTTCAGGGTTCGCACCTCCGTCTCCACCTGATCAAGTCGGCTGGCTATGGCGACTTGACTCGCCCAGGGCCTCTCAGCATCAAGCCATTTGGGGAACGGGAATCCAAATCCACTGCCACTTGGCGTTTTTGGGCGCAAGCCAAAAACCGGACATGCATGTTTGAGAGGGCAAACCCATCCACCAACGAACATGTCTATTTGTGGGAGGGAACTCCATCACACTCCGAAAACCTGGTATCGATTGCAGCTCAAGACCGTTCTTGTTAGCTTGCCCGGCCCTCGACTGATTTGCTGAGTTGGTTGGTCAGCAAAAAGCTGACATTCCTTTGACTAAAATGACTTAAAATGATCAAGAAGGTTACGAAGTGCCGACGCTACCTTTTCGCCAGACTGCTTTAGACAAGTCCTCCCCGTAGGTACGAGCCTTTTTCCGACGCTTGTAAACAAGAGCATAAAAATGGTCAACCTAACCAAACGGAGAAGCATGCGCCCCGGTACAAACTTCAAGCAAAGCCCCAGCCTTTGGGAAACGATTGAGTCTTGCGAACTTAGCAGGTATCCAGTGCGCATCAAGTATTTTCGTCGGAGGCCAAGCTGGTAGGCCATACACACAGCTCAACCATGAAAGTACTGAGCAACAGGGCAAGTAGTATGTCGAACGCAAAGCAACACTCGCTTTTGTCTCCTAAGCGCCTTCAACTTCTGCAGCACCATGCCGTTCTGCACGTTCACCAGGCGCAGCACGGCATTGGAGTTCGCAGCTACGAAGACCTGCGAAGCGCTGCATCTGGCACCCAGAACGGCGCCGTTTCCCCGGCTTCGCGGTTGAAGCTGGAAACCTGAGTCAAGGGGAACCAAGGCTCAGGCGAGGTTCTGAAAGAACCTTAGCGGTTCTGATTGGGTGCAAGGAACCTGTCTGGTGCTGGGGAGAAACGTCTCTCCTGATTTAGGAACCCCTTTGACCAGCTGACAAAGGAGAATAGGGCGCGGGGCCAATCTGCTTTCTGCGAGGCATGACTAGGTGCCAATTCGAAGATAAAACTGGGCTTCCAATAGAGAAAGGACCCCTCCCTGCAATGCAAAAACACAGTCGCGCCAATGCCAGCATGTGTGCCTGTGAAAAACGTGCATGTAAGACACCACGCCAGAGTCATGCCAGCTACACAGGCATCTAAATGTCAGCCGAGAAGCATGCAAACCCCACCTGTTGCCTATTGGCTACCAATTCACTGACACTTCCGTAACTTCCCACCCAGCGTGATGTTTTTGGCGAGCTCGCGGGCAACAAAAACTCGATGTTGAAGGGTGCATGCACAAGGCCTTTATGAAAGCGGAACAAGATGTAGCTTCGGACTCATGTTCTTGGAACTTATGGCTGTTTCTTCAGAGCGTTCAAGGAGTGGACACCTCAAAGTGTGACTCCCAGATGGGTGTGTGTCTTGCCTGGGTTTCCCCATGTTCGAAAAAAGACACACACACACACACATCGCAAAACTAGCATAGGACTGCAGACATCATGTGAGCCATGCCTGCGGGTTGAAGGGCAAAAATGCCGCAACTGGTACTGGAGACGAATCTGTGAAGACCTGCCGGAAAGCACAGGCGTTGAGAGAATGCCGACCCCGGCTGATAAAGGGATGTCCCCCCCAAAAATGAAGGATTGCCTCTAGCATGCCCATGTCTCAACCGGGGCTTGATAAATGTTGGGCTCCGCAAGGGCACGCAGCAGCTCCGAAATTGCTTCAAGCGTGATGCTCAAAAAAGAACGCGGCCTTCAGCATCTCGCCCGTGTCGACGTTCCAAAATCGGACCGATTTATCAATGGAGGTGGTCACCTCACAGGTAGCGCCACGCGCAGGTGTGAAGCGAGTCACAGGAGTCTTTGACCAATGCTCGTGTTAGAATCCAGAAATTTGGTTAAACAATGTGATACTTACGTCAAAAAAGCCGTACCGTACATACAGGGACCCTATTGCCGCTTGGCTCGTGAGGCCCAAACGAGCTGGTCCTCCAGCAGGTTGAAGAAAACGGAGGTGATGGCACGGGAGTGACCCACCAGCCGCGTGTGCACCTCGACCCCCAAGCTCCAGGTTCACCCCTAAACCCGAAAGGTGATTCCCTGAGAACCAAGTTGGGTAAACTTACATGAGATCCCTAATTCTTCTCCGCAACCCCGTCATTGAAACAAATGCCCTGTTCAAAGGTTGATGTTCAACAAGACCAAGCCCAAGGGGTCTGAAAAAGCCATGGCACATGTGTCACGGTGGTTTCTGGCCAGCCGGCACAGCCGCCATTTCGGCCGTCGACTAAGGCTGGGACGGCGATGTTGGAGTGGTCGGCCGGCGGGCTGGACTGGGCAAAGCCGCGTGTGCAGGCACATGCTGCCGCAAGTTCACTTTGGCGACATGGATTGTTCTGGCGACATGGCACGCGGAATATGGCTCTCTCGCACAATTTGGGGGCCCCTGCAGTATCACCTCGGAAGTCCTCGCCGGCGAGCATGGCGATCTCCATTTCCGTCCTAAGGGCATTGCACTTTGGGACCCTTCCGGGCAGATCATTTACATAAGTCATGGTACGCTGGTTTGCGTGAGTGTGTGTGCGTGTGTGCCTCTGTGTCTCTATGTCTCTCCGTCTCTGCGTCTCTGCGACTCTGCAGCTCTGCATCTCTGGGTTCTCTGCGTCTCTGCGTCTCTTCGTCTCTGCGTCTCGGCCTCTCTGTGTCTCTGTGTTCTTTGTCGCTCTTTCCCTGCGTCTTTGCGTCTCTGCGTCTCTGGGTTTTTGCGTCTCTGTGTCTCTGTGTCTCTGCGTCTCTGTGTCTCTGTGTCTCTGCGTCTATGCGTCTCTCCGTCTCTCTCTGCGTCTCTGCGCGTCTCTGCGTCTCTGTCTCTCTTCGTCTCTGCGTCTCGGCCTCTCTGTGTCTCTGTGTTTTTTGTCGCTCATTCTCTGCGTCTTTGCGTCTCTGTGTCTCTGTGTCTCTGCGTCTGTGCGTCTCTGGGTCTCTGCGTCTCCGTGTCTCTGTGTCTCTGTGTCTCTGCGTCTCTGTGTCGCTGTGTCTCTGTGTCTGTGTGTCTCTGGGTCTTTGTGGCTCGGAGTCTGGGTCTCTTAGTGTCTCTGTGTCTCTGTGTCTCTGCGTCTCTGCGTCTCTGGGTCTCTGCGTCTCTGTGTTTCTGTGTCTCTGCGTCTACGCGTGTCTGCGTCTCTGCGTCTCTGTCTCTCTGTGTCTCTGTGTCTCTGTGTCTCTGTGTCTCTGTGTCCCTGTGTCTCTCTGTCTCTCTGTCTCTCTGTCTCTCTGTCTCTCTGTCTCTCTGTCTCTGTGTCTCTGTGTCTCTGTGTCTCTGCGTCTCTGCGTCTCTGTGTCGCTGTGTCTCTGTGTCTGTGTGTCTCTGAGTTTTTTGTGGCTCGGAGTCTGGGTCTCTTAGTGTCTCTGTGTCTCTGCGTCTCTGCGTCTCTGTGTCCCGGTGTCTCTGTGTCTCTGTGTCTCTGCGTCTTTGTGGCTCGGTGTCTGGGTCTCTGAGACTCTTTGTGTCTCGCATCTTTGTGGCTCGGTGTCTGTGTCTTTTTGTGTCTCTGTGTCACTGTCACTCTCTCTTTCTCTCCCTCTCTCTCTCTCGCCCTCTCTGTCTCTGTTCTCTCTCTCTCTCTCTCTCTCGCTCTCCCTCTGTCTGTGTCTGTCTCTCTCCCTCTCTCTCCCTCTGTCCCTCACTCTTTCTCTCCCTCTCTCCCTCTCTCTCTCTCTCTCTCTCTCTCTCTCTCTCTCCCCCTTCCTCTCTCGCTCGCTCTCTCTCTCTCTCTCTCACTCACTCTCTGCCTGCTTGCATGTGCATGTATGTGCGTGTATGTGCGTGTAGGCATTTAGCGATGGACCATGGACCGGCAGAATGTTGGCCGGCACGTGGGAGTTTATGCCCGCCAAACATTTTGGTGGGATGGTTCCCCTCGACGCGCACGGCTTGATTTGCACGAGGCCTCCGTGAGACGGACCCAAGTGGCACACAGAGCAAACAACACAAAATGGGCCGAACCAAAGCCAGACTGAAGCCGGTTTCGAAAAGCAAGAACTGACACGGACGACACCTGTTGGCTGGCAAAGAGGCCTAACGGCCCTGAGCTGGCCACTACCCCCTCATGGTTGTGGGAAAAGAACGTTGCTGTGACCACGCCCATGACTAATTCTTCCCTTACAAGGGCTTCCCTTGGCCACTCCCAGATATTGGCCAAACCGATTGCCCATGGGCCTGTAGCAGCGATACACCACGACCGTGCCATCTTTGGAGGCCGTAACGAAGAGGATGTACCTGGGGGCGCAAGGCCGGGTCCCGGTGAAGCTTCCTCAGCTGGTATATCAACGCCTGGCTTATTGATGGTGGGTTGGCCAGTTTGAGGTTTTGCACTCACGCGAACACACGCACACACACACACAAACACACAAGCACACTCCGGGTTGCTTTCATCTGAGGTCGGTTTTGCCAAAGCACTCGCTCCTTCCAGTTTTGCCGCAATGCCGCACCGGGCAAGAAGTTGCAGGCTCGGGGATGAGCCCTCGCACAGAAGTCGGGGTCTTCCCGCAGCAACGGGTGGCCACGTGGCAGCCATGAACCGTCGCGCTGTACAAAGCGAATTGCAGCTGCAGCCATGCTCCTCAATTGTTCGAGTTACCCAGGCCAGCTGCCAGCGAAAAATATACATCCTACACGTGCATGAAACCAGCAGGGAATCTGTGAAGCGGCGCCCCAGTCTTCAAATTGCTGAGGCTACATTGCGGCTTGGCCGGTTGTTTCTTATCCGAGGTGTTGACTATGCACATCTCCAATGATCACAGGCTTCAAATGTTGATGTGACGCACGGGTGCCCTAATCATCTTCCTCCAGCTGCAAGCAAGTCCACCAGTGCGTCAGGTTGCGCCTCCCTTCCTGCAGGATCCAGGGCTGTTTTGCTGAACTCCGTGTCGGTGGTTTCCCTAAACCAAAGAAGGTACCCTCGAAAAGAAACACCCGTGCCAACCAGGCTTGGCCATACTCGATCACAAATAGCCACAAACCATGGCGGGGCTGCTGCCACTGGCCCTGGCCTTGAAATCCAGCATTAGCGCGTGGAACTTGCGATAGTCGACGGCTGCGGCCAGGTATTCCTCAGGTGTGGACAAAACTATCTGTGGATATGGCGGGATGAAGCAAAGATATGCTTCTCAGCTTGGTATTTCTGGCACCGGTCTTTGCTGTGTTGTACCAGCAGTGGCTTGCCCACTGGCTGGGCCAAACATGGTGCCAAAGCAACCCAGGCAAGGCTCAAAATATTGGAACTTGGAGTTGCCTTCGTTCTTCATCCGAAAGCCTGCAGAGCTGGGACATGTTCACCAGCGCAACATATCCAAGCCACTTACATCCTGAAAGCCCACTTTTGGGCGTGCATCCAGGTCGCATTCTTCCACAGCTTGCTCCGCTGTCACCCCTTCCCGGTCCAGGAACTGATCAGTCCTTCTTCGCATCATTTCCTCGTATTCCTGCGCTTGCGGGATGATGGACGACAAGACAGACATATGCTGGTTCATCTCGTACATCGCAAGGCAGAATCGGTCCTGGAAGATGTCGTGCCAGTCGTGGGGGTGGTCCTCAGCTTCTGTGTGCCATGGGTACGGAACTCGCAAAAAGACGAAGCCCAGCCCTCTTTCAACTAAAAATCCCAAGAAGGGCACCAACGATAAACAAGGACGCTCCCACACGGGAACGAACTTGATTAATGTCCAGCAAAGCTCATAGCCCCTTGCACGGATAGTCCTTGCAGGTCCCCATCCTCCCACGCTTCCATGCAAGGGTGAAAGTAGATGGCACAACTCCCTTTAGATGGCTGTGTGTGTGTGTGGGTGACCTTTGTGGCATTTCACTAAAACCTTCCAACTACTTTCATGCTGCGTCACCTGGCTGTAACCTAAGGGGCCGGTTCAGTTTCAGGTTACTCCAACTCATTCCCGGATTCCCGCCAAAAAATCCATCGCAGGCGCGTGCTTCGGCGAGCTGGGGCCCACTTCGTCGAACTTCCAAGCGTGGCGCTGCGCGAAGGCGTTCAGCTCCATGAGGCACGAAGCCGACAGCAGGTAGTCCTCAAGTCCTTGGGGTCACTGAATGTCCAAGGTTGGTCCGTGTGGCAGGTCTTCCCAAGCCAGAAAGTTTATCAATTACTGGGCGGATCTCAAGGAAACAAACGCCACTTGTGGTTCTTCGGGCAAACATGCCCTTCAGCCGATCCCGGATAAGGAACCCCTGCACTACCGTCGGCGGGCACGCCTTTAGGTGAATGACACGACATTCGGGAAGGAAGGTCGGAATGGGGCGGTATTCCCAGAAAATGTGTAATCGGAAAACCCTCGGAGGTCAGCTGCAGGCTTCGCTCCCTGAACGGGCTTCAAACAGTTAGGTAGGGCCATGCGCAACTTTTTTCGGACTCAAAAGTCTAGGGTCTACCCTAGGTTTTTTGCATTTTTTGAATAAGCGCCTCAAAACAGCCATTTTAAAACATTTTTTGAAACAGTCTAAACACATTTTGATAAATATTTTTTTAGTACTGCATACCAAAACAAAAATTGAATTATTTTTTGAAAAATTCAATACACCTAAACATGTTTATTTTCAAAAACACACATTTTCCAAAATATTTTAGAAAATATATTTTTTCAAAAGAGATAAATATATATATCATTTTAAGAAGAATTATTCAATAAGAAACAACATTTTCAATAATTCAATGAGAAGACAAATAATTAATCATTTTTCGAAATTTGGATATTCCGGAGTTGCGCATGGCCCACCTTGTAGGATTTTATCTTCAATATATAAAACGCTATACTTACATTATAATTATAACATATAAGGGTATAAATGTTATAATCATAGTATGGTTATATTATTCAGGTTCATCAATAATTAGTATAAACCTTATGTGTTTTACTCCTACAATATTCATTGTATTCCTTTCATTATCAATATTTCTACATATTGTTGCAACTGCGTATTCCATTACATCAGTTATATTATCTTGGTCTATAGAACCCATTAAGTGTCTACCACTATGAAAATCAAAACCATAACTGCTATATTCATCATCCTCAAAATAATTAAAATGATGAAACCTTACACATAAAATTACATCAACTATTATTATTGCTTTATAACTTTCATATCCTACATACTTATCTAGTAAGCTATCTATTTCATCCCCTTCTTTCATAACTATATCTTCAATACTTTCAATGCTTAATGGAACCTTCCTAGAAACATAATATTGACATATTTGTCTCTTTACTTTATCACCATCTAAATTATTACAGTGCTTTGTTTCCCTTTCTATGTCAGTTTTGTCAATTTTATATCTTCTTTGTATTCTCTTCAATGTTTCATTATGATTATGCTTTATTTTCATATATTCTGGCTTGCCATATTTATAGGACATAATATTATTAATAACTTCAACTGGTAGTTTTTGAAACTCCATTTCTATTATAATATATATAGTGTTTATTTCTTTAAATACTTTTTTACAAGAAATAAAATTAAATATTGGAATATACTTATAACATATAATATTTTACATGTTATAATCATAGCATGGTTATAATCAAAATCATTCCCCGATTCTATCAAAATCATTCCCCGATTTTATCAAAATCATTCCCCGATTTTATCAAAATCATTCCCCGATTTTATCAAAATCATTCCCCGATTCTATCAAAATCATTCCCCGATTTCTGTCAAACTCATCACAGTTTCCAATATCAAACTACTAGGTATTTTATATAGGTCTTGTTGCTAAATAATTCTAATAAATTCATATTATTAGAAATATCTAGATTTTAATTTCCAACCATTACATATTTATCATCATCGCCCTTAATTAGTTTATAATATTCTAATGTTTGTTCTTTTGGACTTTTGATTTGTCCCTTATTTAACATATCGCAGTATTTTTTACGCTTGGTATCATAATCACCGCTAGGTCTGCCTATCCCTTTCTTTTCAAAAATCTTATTCATCTTCTCCTTCTCTTCGTTGCTTTGTTGTTCGCGTTCAACTGGTTTCATTTTGTCATCAATGGATTTAATCATATCATTTAAGGTTTTGTCAAGAGACGGCAAGGTGACGTCCCGTGGGACGCTATGCACCGAACCCTCAAGCTGTAATACCAACCACGTAGAAAGGTGTATACGGACGATGCCGTTATAGCCGAACCCGTGTAAACGTTGTAAGGGAGAAGGAATGATAGTTACAACAGTGGTCCTGACAAATGCAGCGCAAGCGAAGTGTTTTCGCTCTCAATGCCGATCACGTATGTATGCAGTCACACATCAGATCTTGAACCTCAATTGTGTCTTGAGCCAAATGGCGATCAATGGAACTTGGGAAGCAACACCAACAAGGACCTCAGAACAGCTACCCAATTTCGGCACGGGGCCTAGAGGGTTTTAACATCCCCCATTTGGGTCGCATTGTTCATCATGCGGTCCAAACACCACAAAACGTTCCACTGGCCACGGCTTCAACTACGAAATCGTGTCGTGCATTCTTTTACTTGCTATCACTACACCGTTCATTCGCTGTGAACATGCCGGGTTCGATTGTACGAAAAGTGAAACATTCATCCTCCAATCGAAGCACACATCCATATGCAGGTGTATATAATACACTGTGGCCACTTCACTTGACCGCCAGTGAACATTCCAGCTGCCGCATTTGCGCATCGCGCAGCTGTCATCCATAAATGGGTTGGCCGCAAAAGTCCACCAGAGGCGCCCGCTTGTAATCGGTCTGCATATTTCCGGCAAAGAAACATCGGTGAGTAATCAATGCAAATCATAGCCATTCCAGATACCATGGACAACGCATAAATAATGAAAAGATATCATCTATAAGGTCATAGTTCCATCCATGAATATCCAGAGCGTCATAGTCATCGGAATATGTATCCATGTACACATCCATTCAACTTGGATATATGAAATCATATCATAATGTAGAGTCGTTCCGTCGCAATGGTGTTGATGAGACGCAAGCAACAGATGGGGACTAACCCACATCGTGCCGCAATCAGCATCTTCACTACGCATACCGGTCCCCAATGGACAGTCTGTGAGTGCGTCGACGGAACTCCTCGTCCAAGTTCTTCTGGGCTTCTCGTGCCCGGACACACTTCTTGTTGTAGTCCTCTGGCAACCAGTGCCCTTTCCGAAGGCACCAATCCAGCAGGGGTGTGTCGCATTTGTTCGGGTCGATGGCCGAGATGATGGCGCTCACGTTGACCGTGTAACCATGTTTGCCAAGGTTCAGGCCATCCCTCACGAATGATATATACTTACAGTTGAAAGCTAGTGCAAAACATCTGAAAATAATATCACCCACCGGGTGCACTCGGTCCTTGACCAGGAGCTTCATTTCTTCCTTGGTGACATCGAGGATTCTTGCTGCAATCCACAGCTTGTAGAATGTGTATAGTCCCTCGCATGGTCATTCCTACTGGGGTCCTGTGTGAAGGTTGCAAAAGTGCTCCGCCCTACTTGTCTTACACCACAGCAAGCCTCACGCCAACCGCACGCTGCAAAGCACAAATCTTGCACCATGCTGTCACCTATTACAAGCGCCCCTCAGTACTGGCATTGATGCAGCAGCTCATGCCGCTCATGCTGCCAGGCCATCATCACTGGGGCAACGGCACAACTGCAAGGAATCCAGGGAACTGGGGCTGGAACAATCACGCAATTCAAGGTACAATCGGTATGTCACTCAGCAACCTGCGCCCAGGCGCAACATCTGGGAGCCCATGTGGCTTGGCATTTTATTTCCTAGCGTTAGCAAGTTGTCAGGGCAAAGGATGGAGCATAAAACGAAGGAAGAAAGCGACCACACAACCATCAATCATTCAGAAGAGTTTTACAATAATCTTGGAATAGGGTCTGAAGCTTGCTTAAGTTTACGTGTCTGCCTTCATGTGAAATTCATGTCTACAACTATTTGAATCCTCCTGATCCGATGAGTGACCATGACAACTTGACAACTTTCCGGTTGAGCAGCAGACAGCCCGGGCCGCTTTTCTTCTTTTCCGTGCCTCGCAGCCGCAGCCACATTGACAACTCATTGATGACAATGAAAGCTTTCTGAAAGACATGCGTGTGTGCTTCCAACTTCCAACCTTGGTTGGCAGCCAGCCAGCCCAACCAGTGCCAACCAGTTCACACACACAAATTGTCACACGCTGCCACTGCCAGGGCTGCCAACGCAGACGCAGACGCAAACCAAAACTCAGACCAGCTTTGGCTCATTACTGCAGCTCTGGCAACTGGCTCAAGAAGACATTGCGGAGCCACAACAACCAAATGTGTGGCCCAGGCTTGTCACAACGAGGCCAACGAGGATTGTTGCTACTTGCCACTGCCACTGCTGCCTGCTGAGCCTGCTGCTGCTGCTGCTGCCATTCGGTCAGCATGAGTGTCAAGAACTCCACACTACCTTCTAAGAACTCATAGTACTCCTGCAAGGCAGCAGGCTCCTGCAACAAAGGGATTGGGCCAGACTGAGGCCCTTCAACAAGCGCCACTGCAGGGAGCTCGTACTGCGGCTCCGGCCTCACATCCCTGGCCCTGGCCTGGCTGGCGCCATCCAGATGGAAGATTGTTTCGAGCAGGGCTGCCTGCCAGTAGGTCAGCCACCCCCACACAGCTGCAGACTGCAGCCTGCGCTTCAGGAACCCAATGACAGCCACCACCATCGCAAGGCTGTTTCTTGCAAGGCCCTTGTCTGCGTCGCTGTACTCGCCGAACCTCAAGAAGATGATCAATCCCAACTCTGAGGAAGCAATGCCCGCAGGCAGAGCGGCTGCAGCTGCTGCATCCGCCGCGGCTAGATCAGCAGCGTCAGCCTCGCTGTCTGCAGCTGCAGTTTCTTCGCCAACCACTGTCCAGCCCATAGCAGCAGCTTCAGCTTCATCAGCTGCAGCTGAAGCAGCTCGGGCAGGCAGCGGCGGCCTTCCTCTGCTTCCTCCTCCCATCATGGCGCCGGCCCTTGACAAGCTAAGCTCACGCCAAGGCTGCGTGGCTAAGGCCAAGGCTAAGTCTGTCTACAACC